ACGAACCACCTACACAGTCCTATCTGCTGCTATTCAGCCATCATTTAATCCTGACACTAATCTGCACAGAAACAGACCAGTGCCAATCCTTTAAGAGCCACCGGTACGGGCCTCACGATACTCTGCCATCTTAAAATGAGTGTTTGTTGAACAGTCGCTCATCAGTGTTAAACATCGAGTCTGGGGTTTAAGCGCAGCCACATGAGCTGACGGTTGAAGAAGACTTTGCGGTCTTCACTTTAAAGAGATCTCGACACAGAAGCTTATGCAAGCTATTGCATGTAGGAGTTTGTATTTGAGGCACAAAACTAGATTTAGATAATCTCATATAGCACTTCCCACACACTGAATCCATAGTTTTGTGGCCAGCGCTGACCTGACACTCGCTGCACAAACCAGGCATGTTCTCATGATTATGTGCCGCCTGTTAATTTCAGTACGAGTTACTGCAGAAACACACAGCGCTGATCATCATCCGGTTCAAGAAACAGCGTGTTTAGATCAGTTCGGTCTTGTTTTCCAGCACAAACATCCCTAAATCAAGACACTTCAGCTTGAAAAGCAAAATGACAGAAGATATGAAGTCTCGTTTTCTGAAAAAAATATCAAAATGAAGTGAGTTTATGATTAAAACAAGAAGAAATATCTGCCACTGGAGTCTTGTTTCCCATTGAATTGATTTTCTGAAAAAAGTATATCAAGAACTTTGCTGTACAGACAGTAAAAGCCCAACACAAAACTAGAAAGCTAAGTAAGTCAAGATGAAGTCTATTCAAACAGAAAGTGAAACACATGGCACCCATCAGGATGTGCTTCCAGCGCTATATTTGCCTGGTTTTAGTGTTTGGATCTAAAGCCTGACATCATATCACACCGCATGAGCGTCATATGCTGTTAGCACATTCTGATGAGTTATTATTTCCATAAGATGTGCTACCTGCATTTTTAACCCTTTTCACACTGTTCTAGCACATCGACAGCTTGTCTCGGGTCTCATGACACCGTCACGCGTGCTTCACCGTTTAGCTGCAGGTCGCACAAGTGTTCAGAGTCTCTCAGCTGTTTCCTCACAGAGACGCATTCAGTGCCGCATGTCTCACGGGACGAAGATGATGAAGTACTAAATAGTGCTATATATATATTCTCCTGTTGAATACGTTGAATTTAATATTTTTTCATGTCATTACATTGTTCAGAGCATTTTTTTTATTTTTTATACCAAACTTTGTATAAAAATGATTCTCAACTATGTTATAAAAGATTTGATATACCATTTTGATTTATGCAACATGTGCGTAAAATGGCCATAAACAGGTTTTCCCATTAAACACAATGCAATCTATACACTGCATCTAATTTGCATATTAATGTGTTTTTAGCATGTAATGAAAAAAAGAAGTGTAATAATGGGAGTAATTATTGGCAAGATTTTCATAATAATATCTAATATTTTATAAGAATATTGCTATATAATTTATTTTCCTATTCATTTGTAGTGTCTCCCAAAATGCGTAATGAACACACTTTTAGTCCTGCTGTCCTCTACAGTGCACATGCATGAAATCAATGCCCTGTTTCATAACAGAAAGTCATATTTTGGTTTGAAACCCCATAACATTTTCCTGAGATGTTGATTTATGACAAACAGATTTAAATGATCATTACAAAATATTATTATATTTCCATAAGGGTGTTGAATTTGATCCCTAAATTAATGTCCAAACATTCAGCGTCTCTGAAAAGCCCTGAGTGTGCTCTGAACGGGACATCCAGACCAAAACTGTGACATGTGAGGTCTCCGAGAAATCGCTAAAATATACCGTCCTCCACAGAGAACAAAACTCCGGAGCTGGTTGTCAATATATATCTCCTTCCCAGATAGCACAGGTACGTCTGCTAGAGGTCTGTTAAAGATCTCTTCATCTGGAAAGCAAACATCTGATAGACATCAGTTTTACATGCATTCTATATCATAAACATCTTAAAGACATCTTCTAAACGTCTATTTGACATCTGATAGGAAACCTCCTATAGACGTATTGCAGATGAGCAAACACTCTAAAAAGCTTATCTTTATTGCGACAGCACACGTACATCACGGAGACGTCTATATGACGTCTGCAAGACGTATTTTTTAGAGTGTTTGCTCATCTGCAATACGTCTATTGGACGTTTCCTATCAGATGTCAAATAGACGTTTAGAAGATGTCTTTAAGATGTTTATGATTTAGAATGCATGTAAAACTGACATCTTACAGACGTCTATCGGATGTTTGAACACAGCAGATGCTTTCCAGATGAAGAGATCTTTAACAGACCTCTTGAAGACGTGCTATCTCGGTTTTTGAGTGAATACAATGCTTGAGATGCATAAACTCAGATCAATCCGTTTCAAGAAGAAACACAAAACCTGTGCTAACTGAAAGAAAACACATGCAAACAGATTGACTCCTATAACACAGATTTACAAGCAATATTTAAAAGGCTGGACATTTTTGAACAGGAACATCAAATCAGGCGAGTTAACAAAACGTCAGAGAGTTTATTTAGCTTAGACAGAAAAGAGTCTGGTCTGTAGTAACGCGTGCGTCTGGAGATCTCAGGCGTGATTAATGACCGCGAGCCAGTACAGCTTCAGGAAAGTAGAGCAGAAACTTTGTGAAAAATGGGTTTGCACATATTTTTCTCTCTGCTCTAAAGTTATTGTCTCAGGCTTTCAAACTGGAGCAAAAGCTGAAGTTCAGAACCTCCTTTTGTTGTCTTTGTGTTTTCCGCGTGTTTGATTTTGGGCAAGGTTTGGCCCTCGAAAAGGGAATTCAAAATAACAAGGCCTGCATCCTCCAGACATGTGTGTGAAAATCTGTCCGTCGTCTGGAAGAGAGCGCGGGGGTGTGCGTACAGAGAGAGAGAGAGAGAGAGAGAGAGAGAGAGGGAGAGGGGGAGAGAGAGAGAGAAAGGGAGGAGACACCCATCTTATTAATGAAAAATGAAGATAATATGAAAAGATGCAGCCTCACTTTCTTTGAAATAACATGCCATAATAATTGTATTAAGGCAGTGAATAAAGTCAAAAATAGTATTGTTTTTCATATTTAATATATTACCATCATGGCCATTTACATACGGGATTTGCAGTACTTGTACATCCACATCTCTGTTTATGGAAACGCTACGCGAGCAGACAGCGAGCAAGCTCTGAACGCTCTCCCGCGGCACCCATCGCACGGAGAGCCTCAAGCAGCCGCAGAGGAAAGCAGTGATCGCGCGGAGAACGTGTTCCTGCTGCTCAAACAACGACAAGGTCACGGGTTCGAATCCCACAGAATGCACGAACTGAGACAGAAATGTGTACACACTCAGAATAATATTTAGGCCTAAGTAAAAGCTTTATTTGAATTGCATATAAAATGTTCATGCATATGGAACATGCAGTTTTACCATGAAATAATAATGTGATCCATGTTTGTCAGTCATCCATAAATGAGACAGGTGAGATCTTCAGTGTTATTTTAGGATCACTGAGCTACTGTTAAACTATGAAATGTTGCCTTGGCAACTAGCTGAAATAACATAAACATACTTATTTTATTTCGGTTTAATTCACGTAACAAAAACACGGCGTGTTTGATTTCACTTAAATCATCATATTTTCAGTGCATAATCAGCATTAATTTATTTTAAAGCATGAACATGGTTAAAATATGACTAGCTGTGGAACAAGCAATATTTAATTTGTTAAAATGCATGAGATGGAAAGAAAGTGGATTTATTGATGATAAATATATGAATATATAACCTGGTTATTGATTATTTAAAATGTATTCATTACTCATTATTATTTATTTGTTTATTAGTACTACAACAGAAATCTTGATTGACTGATAAATAATGCATTTATTAGTCTGTTTATATTAAAACCGTGGAATTCAAATGAGTTTATATGCACTTCTAATACATAAATCTTTGAGTGCACCTTATTTTGAAACAGAAGAAAGTTATTTTTATAAATAAATAAAGTAGGTAAAGTGTATAAATAAAGTGCTGCAAACTCTATACTAGTGTTTATAATTAGGACAATATGACACACTAACAAGATAAGAAATACCATTTTGCAATAATGCAGCATTTACATTTGTCATATGCTTTTATCCAAAAACATTTGTTCAGTTATGGCTTTTTTCCTTGGGATTGGAACCCATGACCTTGGGGTTGCTAACACCACGATCTTCGGTTTGAGCTACAGAAAGCATAACAAGCTGTTTTGTACTTATAATTAAAAAAGAGCTGGACAAATTGAATGTGATATAAGTTGCTTTGGATGAAAAAGTTCTGAGGGTCGTAAGACATCATTATCTTCATCAGCTGAATCTGATCTGAAGCAGAAGTTTCTCAAACTACCGTCCCGTGTATTAACCTATGCTATTAACTTCTCTAACGTCAGTGTCGTTTACAGCCCTGAGTGCAATTAAAGCACCGCGAGCGGCACAAAGCGCTAATGAGGCAATGATCATGAAACGGCAACAACAAGTTTGGCTAGAGAGCCTAATTATGTAAAGACATTTTATTTTCATCAAGTCTGAATTGGAAATTCTTACATTGGCTTGACATTTAGATCCTGGTCAGACGCATGAGATCGACACAAGCCGATTATTAATAGCAGTTCATTCTACACACTACACAGACTGACAATACATCATCAGACAGACGTCTACATTAATGCCATTAGCATAACACCACTGACGCTCGAGCAGAAGCACAATCAGAGCGATTTAATGTCTGATTTCACCTCTGATGGGAACACAAACCGATATCATGAAGCTGAATGTCGCCTGACATCGATCCGGACTTTACTCTCTGCTGCTAGTCGATGCGTAACGTGAGTGTGTGTGAGTGTGTGTGTGAGTGTGTGTGTGTGTGTGTGTGTGTGAGTGTGTGTGTGAGGGAGTGTGTGAGTGTGTGTGTGTGTGTGTGAGGGAGCGTGTGAGTGTGAGCGTGTGTGTGAGGGAGTGTGTGAGCGTGTGTGAGTGTGTGAGGGAGCGTGTGTGTGTGAGTGTGTGAGCGTGAGTGTGTGTTGTTTCCTAAGGCAAAGTGTTGAGAACTCAATCTAGAGCTGCTCTCATCAAGCACACAGTAGGGGAACTGATATTATTAGCATGTGTGAAACCCAACAGATATAAAACCATTTTAGAGCTGATGAGACCCTCAGAGCGCTGATCCAGAAACCATTTCCCGTGATTACATGTGAAGCGTTTTGACTCTATAAGAACACGCGTGCAGCAGGACACTCATCGGCGTTATTTCCTGAAACCTGCGTCCCAGTTAACCTGCGCTGGTCGATCGCTCAGAAGAAGGAGGTGTCGGAGGAAAAGGCGCCGGCGAGCCTGAACTCGTCCCGCAGGAGCACGCAGAAGAGCCGCTGCGGCAGGGCTTTGGAGTACGGCGCGGGCCGCGGCACACAGGTGCGCAGCAGAACCTCCCGTCCAGCAGGGGGCGGAAAATCCGGAACCGCTTTCCTGTCATCCGTCCCTCCAGAACGACCCGCCTCGTCCTCCAGCGGCGCCAGCAGAGCGGCCTGAACACATCGGCACACAACACACATCAGTCACGCGCTGACTTCATATCAGCTGAGCTGACAACATTACATAAACGTATTTGACAAACGCTCAAACGTGTGTGTAGAGACTGCAAATGGACACAATCTATTTTTTTCTGTGCAGGAACAAATTCCACTAATTGCGAAGCTGATTGCAAATTAGCAGATGCCGGAACTGAGATATAAAACATGTTCTGGATTCAGATCAACCTGCAGCGCCTGTGACGACCAAAACCCCTTCATGAGCACAGAAACGCTCGCTTCTGAGGGTCTTCAATTCAATTCAAGTTTATTTTCACCATGCAAATCGTTGCCAAGCAGCTTTACAGAAAATGTACGTTTCTACATTACATTTAATAGTATATAGGTTAAATATTTAGTATATTTAGATTAGCTTGTGTTCACTCACACAATGAGGTCGTGTTGGCAGAAGTAGCACTACTTCAGCACCAAATCCACATTTACATTTTAAAAACGTGACGATCCTAGGCTTTCAGTACCGGTGAAACCGGGCCGATCCGGCACAGTTGATCGGCGGCTGCTTTCAAACGCTCCTGTATTTGTGTCTGTGAAGGTTTCTATCTACAACGTGTTTTTGCAGCGTTGCAGCCAATCACAGATGTGCTTGATGAGCACGTGAAAGCAACGGCCAATCAGAGGCGTTCGAGTCAGAATCCGCTCGATGCGCTAGAGTTTGTTCAGCGTGAGCTCTGCGCGCTCGCGAATCGTACAAACATGATGTAAATAATGGATTGTGCTGAATAGACAGATTGAATGACTATAACGGGAGTTTTGAGCTCGAGCTGCATCTGAACTGAACTCATATGAGAGCGTCTTTGCTCACTTTCTGATAAATTGAATAAAAGTTTTATTTTTCAAGCTACTTAAGCACAGACTGCAAAGTTTCGGAAGCGACGACCAAATGAAAACTGAATCTGAAATAGCGATATTTGACACTGTGATAATCACAACAGATAAAAACAGCCTAAGTCAACACCGCTCCATGTTTAAGTGCAACAGAACCGACACTTATTCTGTTACCTGTGATGTGTTTGTTACTTTATTACTAATTATTCATTTGATCATTTTAATGCAATATTTACTTAATTGAAGGATACATAGTAATGTTTTACATTTTTTTGAATTATTAATAGCTTTAATAATTAACACATTTTATTTTATAAATAGTTAAATAAAAACATAGTTACAATAGTTTTTGCTTTGGTGCCGCAATTGATAGCGAGAACCATGAAATTTGACAGGGATTGGTACAGACTACAGAAATTACTCTCACAAACGGATCTGAACCCAGAACACAAACACGAGACTAACTACAGCAGAACATCACTGTCTATCTCTACAGAACCAACCTCCAGGTCCATCAGGAAGCCCTGCCACACCAATCAACCAAACACCAGAGTGCAGATCAGAAAACAGCGATTAGCGCTCAGATAACAGATAACAGATGATTCTACACACTGATCCGCACTGATGTACATCATCATGGTGTCAGGTGTTAGATTTTACCTCGTCGCTGGAGTCGGCCAACTTCACAAGAGTGACAGACAAGCGGTGTTAGGAGAGAACAAACAAACAAACAAACAAAAATGAAGAAAATCAACAACAAAACACAGGGCCAGATAAGAGCATCTGTAAACGTTCAGTGTGTGTTGCATGCTTTAGATCGAGCCGCGAGGAATGAATCTCACAAACACATTTCACACAAAAATCAGAGAAACATGCATAAAGAAAACAGCCTTTTTAAAAGATTTTTGTAGCACTATTTTAATGACAATTAAACACATTTTTCGTAGTGACTATAATCTTGAAATGTGCAAAAAATATATTGAACTGAACTGAATCAACACTGATCTGAATAATGAGTTTGTCTCATATTTGATGAAGTCTGCATCACTGATTCTGTTATTTTCTGTTTATGATGGTGAAGCTGCTCTGAAATGATCTGTACTGGATAATAAAGCGCTACAGAAATAAAAGTGACTTGAATTTAAATTGTACAGTATTTATACATAACAGTACAGCTACTGCTTTTAACAAATTTGGGAGTGGAGTGGAAATGTGCTTAATTATCATGACAATAAATGTTACAATAATACTAATGGTTCTATAAGCTTGAACTTATTTAGGCATCCTTCGTTTTTTCTGTTTTGGTTTTGGGTTGAAATCCAAGTGTGATATTCATCCCTAAAGAGGAAACCGTAGAAATGTGCGAAACAATAAGGTTCTTCAGTATAATGTTCATTCTGAAGGTCAAAGAAACAGAAAATTATTATTTGATGAATCTGATTGATCATTGGTGCAGTCATGCTTTGGATGTGTCCGGGTCACGGCACCACTTGTTCTGTTCTTCAGAGTCACACTGAAAACATCCAAAACATGATCAATCAGAGCAAACACGATCAATGCAAGCACATTCCCACAAACACATGCAACAAAAGCAGCCGCTGTGAGTCTGTCTCTCTCTCATTTCTCTTTCTTCCAGGAAATCTCACCTCATTTGAATCCCTGATTTCACATGCTTTACATGGGGATGCTTGGGATAATTATTGCCTTTCTATTTGCAGCCTGGCAACACACAGGCTATAATTTAGTCCTCACACACGCACAGACGCAGACGGTAATTGAGGAAGATTTCCAGGCAAACAAACTCCATTTCAAACAGTTCTCACTTAAAGCAAACTTGTGAGCGCGGATCTCGTTCGTGAGCATCTGAAGCTCAAGCACCGCAGCGCTGACATTTCAACGCTCATATCGCATTTTCAGCCTGTTTAACTGTAAATAGCTGAGAATTACAATTTACACTGGGGCCATTAAGCACAAGTGCATCCTGGGAATGATGGTGATACACATAGAAGAGACTAATATTAACAGGGTAATTAATGAGGTTTCAGGTGACTCATGGGTCAATCTTACGGAAAAACATTCAGATTGATTCATCTCAAAATCAAAAGAAAAACATTGTATTAAATTTAGCGTAAAAATGCAGCTCTGCTGACATTCTCTGTGAATTCCAGGTCAGATTTTGCAGTGAAATCAATTGAAATCTATCAATCTGATCTGGAAAGTTCTCTATGAGATTGACCAGCTACTAGTTAGCTCACTGATGAGTGGTCAGGTACTAGTTCCACTAACTAAAACCCTAAGTAACTCAAACACAAGCCGTTCATCAAACATGCTGTTTAACCGTCAGACTCCAAACGAGCGAAATCACTCGCCGGCGTGTTTAATTACCTCTGTGTCACATTAAAGCTCTAAATGAAACTAAGACATCTGCCGCATTTCATTAATTTAGCTAATTATGACAAACAGCAAAAACAGCTCCAGCAGATTTTTAAATGTATTTTTAAAGCTGTGGCTCGTCCTGCTGTTAAAGTCGTCATGATGCGCTTCAACGCGTTCGGCAGCGTCTCGGTAAATCTGGTTAATTTTTGGAAAAAATAAAGTATTAAAATGATTAAGGTCTTTAACGCAGCGTCCGGTCCAGAGCTGTCTGTCATCTTACACTGATGAACATGATGCAGGACGACTGATTGCAGAATGCAGTTATATGAGCCTAAAGATTCAAGATATGAGCACAAAAAATAAATCACCCTCTAATATTTATATCATATGATATAGTTTAGTGATATCACACCAGCAAGAGTGCTGCTTTCCCCCAATATCTGCACGACTGCAAATGAGATTCATTTATACAACAGTTCAATAAACAAGTTCATATCGTGTTACATTTTGGACACAATATTGTCTTTTTTGATCAATTTAACAAATGAAAATAGTTCAATCAAAGCCACAGCAGAACTGTTGAGCATCTCTGATCAACACACAGCGGTGATTCATTACTGAATGAATCCACGATTTTGAATGAATCGGTTGAAAAAATGTGTGTTTGTGTGTGTTGGTTTACCCGCTGAGAGCTGACGAACAGCTTATGGATGATGGTTCCAGCAGGTCCTCGTCCGGCTCCAATCACAGAAACCTCGGGCTCCTCCAGCAAACAGCTGACAAACCTGACAGACGGCAGACAGGAAGAGCATGCAGGAGAGTTTAGATGAAGAAAGAGAAATGTCATGTTTATATCCATCTCCGTGACAGATGAAATGGGAAATACAGCCATAACAGAGAAAAACTACTGGGTGTGTGAAGTCAGCCTGTTCACACACACACACACACACACACTCTCACTCACTCACACACACACTCGCTCGCTCACTCTCTCACACACTCACTCTCACACACTCACTCACTCACTCTCACACACACTCACTCACTCTCACACACTCACTCACTCACTCGCTCGCTCACTCTCTCACACACACACACACACACACACACACACACACACACACACACACACACACACACACACACACACACACACACACACACACACACACACACACACACACACACACACACACACACACACACACACACACACACACACACACACACACACACACACACACACACACACACACACACACACACACACACACACACACACACACACACACACACACACACACACACACACACACACACACACACACACACACACACACACACACACACACACACACACACACACACACACACACACACACACACACACACACACACACACACACACAATTTGTTAAATCATCTAAACCAACAACATGTATGTTAGACCCTATTTCATCTAAGCTCCTAAAAGAGGTGCTTCCAGAAGTTATAGATTCTCTTCTGACTATTATTAATTCATCATTGAAAACCTTCAAACTGGCTGTTATTAAGCCTCTCATTAAAAAACCAGACGTCTGCCGCGCACAAACAAAACACAAATAAAGTCCAGGCCTGGTCCTCTCTCCTCCTTTACTGTCGTTACTCCTCCTTTTATCCTTCCGGAGCTCCTCCGTGGTACTCGAGACCGGTGAGTGGCGCAGGTGTTGCTCATTATCATGTACTCCACCGGCCTCGCTCCGTTCCCATGGCTCTCGGCCCCGCCCCACTCGTTACAGTATCTGTGAGGATTTCCACACACACGCTCACTAACACACACACACACACACACACACGCGTGCTGAAGTGTCTGTGGTCCTGCGGGCAGCTCCGGGTCTGTTCTTAATGAGGCCGGCGTGTCTCTCCTGAGCGGCCCCTAGGAACTAACGAGCAGCAGGAGATTCTCTGATATGCCCTTCCTGCTCCTGTCAGACCGACACACACACACACACACACAGCTCCAAACGCACACAAACACGCTTTAAAGGCAGATTCAGCATGTTCAGGAGAGTCCAGAGTCGATGGGACAGCAGCGGCGTCTCGCTCACAGATCACGCGTGTTCATTATCAAACACGGAGTTCAACACATTTACTTCCAAACCGCGTGACTTTCTGTCTTCTGAAGAACACTGGGAACCAAACAACACTGGAGCACACTGACTTTCACTGAATGACAAAATCTCTTCTTTTATGTTCCAGACACAAGAAAGTCATACAGGTTTAGAACATGAGGGAGAAAAAGATGACTGATCATTTCTAGCTGAATGATTGCTTTTTGGTCAGAGATTGTGTCATGATGCTGAAAAACTAACTTCTGACGGTTTTTGGAACAAGAAAACTTCACTAACATTAGAAGTCACAGAATAATCATACATTCACATTTATGCATCTGGAAGAAGCTTTTATCACAAGCAAGCAGTGCTTAAAAGCAAGTATCAGATTTGTGCCGATATCCAACATTTTCCCACTCATTTTGGCTGATTAGACCTCAGCTAAATCATTTATTAAGAGAACAATGAACAAGGCTGGAAAAGCTTGAACAATGAATGAACTGAACTGGCCGGATCACCAACAGCACTGTCATTTTAACCTTAGAAAATTCACTAAATTCATTCAAAAATATGAGCATACTGTGGCTACTTTACACTGTAATAACTAAACCAATGAGCACTGATAAAACATACTGACTGCAGCCTTACAGTATACAGATACTATCTTTAACGAAAACTAAATCCATAAAAAAAAACATTTGCATTTCCTGAAATAAAATAAACATTATAAAACTATAGAAAACTTATTTTTTCAGCTACTTGCCCAGGCAACATTTCTCATTTTCGTTTAGCTTAAGTTGACGTACTAAAATAACTCAAATTAATTACCTATAAACTACAACTTAACAACTATATAGACATATTTAAAATAAACAGAAATAAAATTTTAAATAACTAATAAAAATGACAAAAACAGAAAACAAAATTACTAAAACTTTAAAATTAAAATGTTAATATTTTCAAATATTTTTTTACTACGGATGCCCTTTCATAAAAAATGAAAACGGAAAATAGAAAAATAAATTCTAATTCAAAATATTTGTTACTGGGGTGCTCCTTCATAAAAATGTACATTTTTAAAATAAAACTATAGCAGTTTATCAATGATACTAAAAAAAAACACTGGTATATTAAACTAATCTATTCCTCATTAAGCAGATGCAGATTTTTCTAAACAAAAATCCCATCAATGCAATTCCTTTTTTTCATCTTATCTGCAAATGAATATGGTAAAAATGATCAGACTGATGCTGATAATTAATTTTTAAGCCTTTTCCAAAACTCTCAGAATAAAAAGTTACAAAAGCCGGTCACTAGGGCGGCACCTTCTCAAAAGGTACAAATATGTACCATTTAGCAATTAGTATGTACACTTTAGCTATTAATATGTAGCTTTAAGGAACTAATATGCACGCTTTAGAGGTAAATAAGGTACAAGGGTGTAGCTTTTGAGAAGGTACCGTCCCAGAGACAGCTTTTGTACCTTTTGCTCTGAGAGTGAATGACGTTCTGATAATATTGTGCATCCAAGCGTTACCTCTCCAGCTCGTCCGCGTCTTCCTCTCGCTGTCCTCCAGCGATGCCAAACTTGGCCTTGAGCGATCGGGCGCGAGCGATGACGGCCTCCACCGCGCTCATCTGAAGAATGAGGTCCTGAAACACAGAGCACACAGGGGTTCACTCGCGAGCGCGGCGGCGGCCGATACGCGGTCTCACACTCACCTCCAGCTTCTTGAAGTCAGGGTTGGGGTGCCGCAGCAGTTTGCTGGCGTGAGCGGTGACCTGCTGCAGCGCCTTACGCACCGACGCGATGTCTTCAGATGCTTCTGGAGGAGAGATCATGTTTACAGCAGCAGTGATGTCACACACTGTATTTACAGTTCAGAGATACACACTAACCTTCCTCCTTGATCTTGAGCAGAGCCGCGTGCAGCACGCAGGGCATCAGGTGCAGAGTCAGATCCGACGGCTTCTGCAGCGCCAGGTAATGCAGCACCTGCACACACACATACGACACATTATTAACTCATGTGCGGACTGACCCACACCACACCATAAACTGTTTGCAGAGATTCAATTAAAAGACAAAACAAGGTTTGAGTCATCTTTCCGGTCGATTATGTTCCCAAATGTCCCTAAAAGAAGGTTTTGTCAGATTTAGTTCACTCTGAAGATGAATCTGTGTGCAAACTAAAGCTAACAAACACACTCACACACACACACACACACACACACACAGACACACACACACACACACACTTCAGTTTTCAGTTCAATTTGAGGCATTTTATTTGTTAAATTATTTAAATATAATATTTTTTTAAACCTTGCTTTAAGCATTTTAATTGTTAAACTATTTAGACAATGTTTCAAACTGTAAATGTAATTTGAAGTGATTTAACTGTTGAATAATTTTAATATAACGCCTCTAACTGTAAGTGTAATTTTAACTGATGTAATTATTAAATTATTCAGCTGTAATTTTAATATGCGCTGTAGGTTGAGTATCACTGATGCAGTGGGTCGCTGGGAAGGTTTTTACTGTACTGTACTGTACGGCTCGTGAGACGCTTCCCCTCAGGCCGTGCGACCGCAGAACACATGCACGACTGTCACCGAGGACATGTTACTGGAGCAAAACACAGCAGAAGAAATTAAATCAGCAAATGAATTCAGAGTAAATCCTGCAGCTTCCCCACGAGGACGCGACAGACGGCTGAAGGACAGAGAGAGACGCGACCTTCACGGATGCCAGCGTTTACTGAACTCACTTTCAACCTGCCAAAGTGAGTCCCGCAGTAACGACACCTCGTGTTTTAACCCACTTCCAGCAGGCCTGCGCTCTGATTGGCTGCTCTGAAGGAAGCAAGGACGCGTGTGTGTGTTTTATAGTGCATGAGAGTGAGCAGATAAAGACAGAATGATCATGTTTGTGTGGCTTGAAATGAACGTGTGATATTAATCCAACACAAAACAAAAGCAGATCCGGCTCATCGTGTTCCTGGAAAGAGTCTGAATCCAGACTCAGGGTTCTGACCTTCTCAGCCTCTTTGGTGTCGTCAAACAGCCTCTTCTGTCGGCGGGCCGGCGTGGCTTTGGCCGTCTCCCAGGCCTCCACCCACATGTTCCCCGGGATCTTCATGCGGGTGCTCAGGTCGCCCCGTATGACCGTCTCTCCCGCCTCCACCCCTTCCTCCTCCACGTAATCTCTCGGAGAATACCAGCGCACGAAATCCTCCAGACAACAGCCGGGATTCGCTGCCTGTGGAAACACACGCACACACACACACACACACAAGTTTAATGTCATACATGAACACAAGAAATGCTTGTTCACCCAAAATTAAAAAAGCAGGTTTAAAGAAAATGAAGCCTGTTTTCAGCACCATCACAATGTTTTGTATCATCTGGCCCATGACAATAACAACACACTTATGCACACTCAAACTCACACACACTCATGCACACTCAAACTCACACATACTCTTGCACTCAAACTCACACACACTCACGCACAATCAGACTCACACACACACTCACGCACACTCCGAATCACACACACTCATGCACACTCAAACTCACTCTCATGCACACTCAAACTCACACACTCATGCACACTCACACTCACACACACTCAC